CTTAGATAATATCCCACGGGTGGTCGGCGCCCCATGACACTGTGACAGGTTGCTAGGGTCATTGTGGCGGATTTATGTATTTGTTAAACGTTTAACTGCTTATATCTGCATAAAGTTAAATTTAAACTACAGTTTGTTAAAGAAAATCATCATTATACAGCAAAGTGAAATAATTTCTAGGTCACATAATACTATCTTAGATTTACGCGAATATTTGATATTTTAAATAAAACTATCTTTTCATATTCAATTATCTATAAAACTAATCAAAATTATAAAAATGTTTATATTTAAAAAATATTGTAAGGTACTTTAGTGCCATTTTTCAATTTTTTTGAATTCATGTTGTTAATTGTGGGTAGGCTGGCTGTAACAACTATATAATACCTTTGAGACATCACCTCAGTCTCTCCCGTCTTCACCTATCTTGAGGCATTTGTATTGCCTCTATACAGCTGTAAAGAAAATGCAGATGTTCCGTTTAAAATAACCTATATGTGCGTATAATATTAAATATTTGGGATTTTAGGAAAATCATATGTATTATAAATGCTAAAGGATAGGCATGTATGTAATGTAATGTTAGTGTGTTGTCCGCAAAACCATTCGCACGAAATTGTTAAATAAAAGCTTTGAAAATCTTAGATAATGTTATAATTGTTAAATTAATTGTGGGTAGGCTGTCTGTAACAACTATATAATACCTTTGAGACATCACCTCAGTCTCTCCCGTCTTCACCTATCTTGAGGCATTTGTATTGCCTCTATACAGCTGTAAAGAAATTGCAGATGTTCCGTTTAAAATAACCTATACTAGGTATAGTAAGTCACATAGTCTCATAGAAATTCATTCAGGCTTCAAGTGACGCATATTTTTAAATGAGAAGACTAAGCCTTATTATTAGGACTTAAAAATCATTTACTGTAGCAGCAAAAATCATTTTTTTTAATATTAAAAATATAACACACTAGATTTGAAACTCTATTTATTGCAAAACACTAAGTAGGGGGCTTTAAACGAATGACATTAACTAGAATTCAATAAGTATTTTTCAATTATACATATAAATTATAAACCATATTTAAAAAAAATGAATAACTTTTTGTATTAAAATTAAAGTAACATTGTGTCTTGGAACAAAAAGTTTGTTTAAAAAAATATTAGTATCAATAAAGTTTTGTAAATAACGTCTGTATCAGTTAATCAAAATAAATTACAAGTCGTCGTCGTAATTATTTCTTAAGTTATTTGGGATTAAATTTATAAACAATAAAAAATTGCACACATTTTTAACATGGTTTCGAATACAATACATTTCAGTACATACTAACCATAAAATTCCAACTTGACCTTTCAATTTTACAATAGGTATACCATGGATTTCAGACCATAGGGATTTGCAATCTACTACTAGTATCATGAAAATTAAAGTTATAAGCCTCCTTATACTTACTATGTTTGTGAAATTGAATAAATAAATATACTCGTATAAAAAGTTTAAAAACTTCTTGAATTACGTAGTAGATATTTAATTTTAAACGATCTCAAGCAATTATTTTATAAGATTTAAAAAGATTGAGTTGTATATACAAAAACTTGGCCGAAGTATATGATGAAAGCTTTATTGTAAGCAATGAGCGAAATTTTTATTAGGTTTATTCATATTCATGGGGAAAATGATCGTCGTAATTATTTCGGATTTTATGGCGGGGAAGGATGGACTTGGACAATAATAATTCAGATGTTTTATATCTGTATGTTTATTTTATTATTAAAGTCTTAAATTATCTTATAATATATGACTACTGATTGAAAGTAGTTTTGGTGTGTTCATATTATTATGCTAGAAATTACAAATTTTTTTCGGAAACACATTGAATGAATAAAAAGCATGAGTTTTGTTTTATTTTAAACTTATTACATTGATAGTTTGAGTGAATCGTGAAATAAATTTTAAAACATTAGCACGTTTTTTTTTAAACTAAATACTAAGCTACTAGCGGGTCACCCTCGCTTCGCTGGCCTCTAGAAAAAAACCTATCCCACGGGAACCGTACATTTTTCCTGGATAAAAAGCTTATGTACTATTATAATCTATCTCTGCACCAAATTTCATCCAGATCCGTTCAGCCGTTCTGGCGCGATTGAGTAACAAACATCCAACCGTCTAAATTTTGACATTTATAATACATATTACTAAAGCTGTGTAGACATTTACATTACATACATTTCAGCTATGTACAAACTTATAAATTTTATTTAAATGACTTGATCAATTTAATACATTACGTATTTCTTACAAGCACAAAAGAAAATTTTACAAAATGCAAAAAATTACACCTATTTATAGTAAAAAGTTTAATAAACATAACAAAACATGTCATCCTGTACCAAGTATCAATCACATCCGACCCTCTTTAGCTATAAAAAATGTAATTTCTAACTAAGTACTCGTATACAGCTCAAAATTTCCCTTTAGGGCGTCGATGCCTCAATAAGAAGTAATCGACTTCATAATAAAATTAACAAATGGCCTCTCATTATAACGCCGCCTGCACTTTGTTAAAAGAACTTGCCGCTTTATCCACAAGTCAATGAAATTTGCATAGGTTTTTGGCTAAACAATGACCAGGCTACTTCTTTAGTATCTCATTAGTTGGCTGTAGGGAGCAAATTTTATTATCCGTAACGTTAAATGCCCCATTTTCATAACTATATGTGATTTTTAATGAGATCGAAATCGATGCTATTAGTTTTTTAGGGATTATTTATTCAATATTTTCTTAATTTAAAATTTAAAACAAAAAAAATACAAATATTTATTATTAATTTCTGAGCACATTTAAAAAAATAAAATTGTTTATTATTGTAAGCTTAAACACCTATTTCTATAAAAATCTGCGCATAATCACTAATTTAACAAGTCATTGAAGTTACATTGTAACTTATAACATTGTAACAAGTAAGCGGTAAATATTTAGTAAGTAGTTTGTTTATTAAACTTATAAACTTTAATAAGCCTACAATAGAACAATATTATTTTGACTAAACTATGTTACATTGCCTAAGCTTTTTTCTTGAAAAAAAAAAACAAAATATAGACCACAAAATATAAAACCTTTTTAAAAATAGGCATATTATCAATTAAAAAAAATATCCAATCGCGTCCAAACATCCTGTAGGTACTTCATACCAAAATATGAGTAGTAAATCAATCGAAAGGAGCATCTCCTTACAACCGCGTATAATAATCAGGAGCCGCGCAAATTAAAGACCCAGCGTGTGCCTCCAGCCTTCAATATTACTTGTAATTGAATACGCGACATTGTTGGGTATTATTGTCAAAGTTATGTCATTGTATCGTAAAAGTGGAGTCAAATTTTTATGGTTAAATTATATATTTAAGCCAAATAAAAACTCTGTTTGTAATTATTCATATACAATTGTATCTACTATGTATATTTAAAAATAAAGGGTTTGGTTTTTTTTTTATTATTTTTCAAAATTGCATATATTATGTAAGATCAGACAGAGATTTGGAGGGAGAAGCTTTTAGACAGCCAAGTAAATAAAAGTAGGCAAAGTAAAAAGGTATAAACAGTCTAAGCGTGAAAACTAAGACTATAGGCCAAGTTAGGCCATAAATATATTATGTACCTAACAAAATTAGAGACATATAAATTAAACATAGAAACCAATACGGCAATTAAAAACCAAATATTGCCCAAACTAGGTGATGACAGTATTTTTACTAAAAAGTATTTTATTCAACGTCATGCATTCTTTCGCGTGGAATAGACAAAGCGAACATAACAGCACCCGCTCACTGCAGACTTTCCATCAGATGATATTATTGACCAATTCCCAGTCATTTAAATATGCGCGACTCCATTTTTTAATTGACTGACAATATACACTGGTAATAATTTGCAGGGTGTGACATCTCCGAGAGCTTTAAACATATAAGAGACCTTTAGTCTATTTTCTTCATTGTCGATTATGCATAAATATACATACATATATACGGAAATGTATATATCACATTGGATAATAAAATTCACATCGTTTAATATGGTAGGTAGTTCTGATCAGAAACGTCCTACTACTTTACGTCATGACAATTGGTAATATGCAAGAATAGATTTATATATATATATATATATATATATATATATATATAAATTGGAAATAATAAAATTATTTATAGAACTGTTTTAAACGTCTCACTGTTCAACACAGGCTTCCCGTTAATGCAAGGTGATAAAAGGCCATGGTCCTACACACTGGCCTAGTGCGGGAAATACAGTTTTCCTGACAATGTTGGTGATGATGTTGAAAACGATTTGCACATAAGGTTATCAAAGGTGCGAGATGCGAAAAAATGTATTATGAGTAAAACGAAATTGAAAAAACAGTTTGATAGTAGATTCTAAGGTCCTTAGCCTAAGTTTGTTGTTGGACTATTTTATTTATTTAATATTTAATTAGATTTTTATTGTATGTATTACCTTACACGTTACATACTTTTCAATTTTATACATTGGATACTCTTCCTATTTTTTTACTTTATCAAAACGGTTGTCTCAAATGAGCCCCAGGAACTATTGATAAGATATTTTAAAAATTACTATTTTTTTACAATTTATAAAACAACTAGCGACTCACGCTTCGCTCGGGGTCCATAGGTACGTTTTAACGATTAGTATTGAATAGATAGACTAAAACATTTATAATTGATCAATACAGCAGCTATCTAATGCAGAAATAATTTTTCAAATCGGACTATTAGTTCCTGAAATTAGCACCTTTAAACAAACAAACTCTGCATCTTTATAATATTAGTATAGATTTCTTGTATTATATGATATTTCTACTATCGTTGGTGTAATTATCTACAAGATCGGACTAAAACACCATAACAATCGCGGTACATCAAAAAACAAAACATAGTAGGAACCTCAATTATCGTTCGTAAAAATCGCCGGAATTTATCTATCTACAAGCAAGTCATGTGCCGTTTTTTCAAAGAGCAATTAGTCTCTGATATTTTGAAATCTTGCAATGAGATGTCAATTTCTCGTGAATTGCGGTGGTGTGGCGCCGCCGGCGGGCGGTAACTATACGCGGAACTAATTCGTAATGAATCCACGATTGGTAAAACAGGGCCATTGTTAAAAATGTTGTTAGCACTCGTGCGAGGATGCTCCCAGTTCCCATAATGGCGGAGGCGAAAAAGGACATCCTCCTGAAAAAAATGATCTTTTTAACCAATACATATTTGGACATACGCTGGACACTGTCAAACATTATTAACACATTCCTATATTAATAAAAAATACGTCATCTCGGTTGATTGCTTGCCATATTGGTTAGCACATTGTAAATCTCCGAGAATGTTCACATTACCTTATAAAATACACACATATTAGTCTCGTCTGAAGAAATTTCCATACAATCTTTTATTAAATACTTTAAATTAACAAAGCAAATAAAATTAGCGACATTTTCGTTATCTTTACAAGTATCGGCAAGTTCCTTTAGTTTATTACCTTATTATAGTACTAACAGCCTTTAATAGGAGCTCTTTAATCATGTTACTCGATACCGCTGGACATTTCTTAGGTGTAATATAAAAGCCCTTGGACCCGAACACCAATCAAAATCGACTTCAATGCGAAAGGTTTTTACTCACGGCCCAAGATGAGACTTCATACATTTTTCATACGCTCGATACAACCAGACTACCTTTACCAAGTTAAATTGTCAACATTCTGCCAATATTGGATCTTATTTTCAATATATAAGGAATGAGAGGGTTTCCAGATTAAATAAGTTTGTCTGTTTGATCGCAATTAAAGCGCAGAAACGCACGTCATTAGCGCACACGGCAATATTCCACGCTGTTTCTTGTCGATGAACCGGTGACTACATCCAGCAACATGCGATGAGTCTTTTACATCAAACATGTTCAAGCAATTTTAAGTTTTATATCTTAAAGATAAGGTTGTATGTTTATTATACATATTTTGTAGAAAAAACTAGTACATTTGAACTTATGAACGTGGAAGTCATTTTCATCGAGATACCGTAACCGATGCCATTGTAATATGATCTGCTGATTGGTATTTTGATGAGATCCTAGCAATTTTATTATTGCTTCATATTTGGAAAGTTGTTTATTAAATTGATAAGTGAATGAGATAAAATCGTCCGGATCGATGCTCTCACATTAGCGGTTGAAAGCTTTATGATAGTAAAAACAAGGAAGTTTTAAATGGAACATGATTTTAGATCAAAGATTGTGTTAATGATTGTTTTTCTGCTGCTAATGATACTTTCATACAGCGCTGGCTTCTTCATGTTCTGACATGAGAGCAGATAGAACAGATACTTGAGAACGGCAAAAAGACAAACGTCTAGATACACTGATGGGACTATTTATCAAGATATTGCTTAGCAAAGACTTATGAATTCAATTCATGTAATTATTGTTAAATTATATTAAATTCTATTTAAAGTTAATTGCCAAGTATCCTTAGAATAGACTAGCCTTTTTTTGGAAACCACATAAAATGATTTATTATCATGTTCATCCAGACATTTAAAATGCAAACTTAAAATTGTAATTTCTAAAAAGCATATATTTAATAAATCATCCACTGTTTAATATAACACACGAGCAGTTTTTACTTACCACTCGGTTACGGCACAGTGCCATATTCAATGCGACGAAAGATTTTTTAAATTTGAAATTGTAATGTACAAGAATGCGCGACAATCTATGATCGACGATTCCTTTGCGAGAACAATAGGCGGCTCGAGTGCGCTTTTTCTAGAATAAATAAGCGAATCCTTATACCCTCGCCGCTTCCAATCATATCTCGATATGTATGATGCGTAACTTAAGAAAAAATTCGAAGCAGTCCGCGTACCTTTTTATGTCTTCTTCGTTTCGCATTTTTCGGACAAAACTGATTGTTTACCGGAAAAAATTACGCCTGTTAGTCGAAACGGTGGGCATAAATAAAAGATGTGGCGATCGGAGAATTTTGATTCGGTTGTTTTTGCTGATAAATACCGAGTGCGGTGAAACGACAAAAACGTCGAACGATGTACGATTGAGAAAGGAACGTGGTGTCAAGAGTGGCCCGGAGATTTATGTAGGCCGCTTTATAAATAGCGATATATGCGGATATTGCTATTGGAAAACTATTATTTTTTCTGTTGATCTATAAGGCCAACTTTAGAAATAACTTTTGTTTATGTACTTAAAATACTAAGCTTAATTTGCTTAAATCTATGAATGTGGATTATTGTAGAATAAGAAATTGAACTACTTAGTCATGTTTTTAGATATTTTCTATTATTTAAATTTTACCGAATTATTATATATTAATATATATATGAATGACCTCCTAAAGAACTGATTGATTTAGTGGGATAAAAAGCGTGTGCCACTCTTCAGGTCCTAAATTATTTAAATGTAAAAATAACATCGAAATGTGCTTCAGCGTTAAGATATTACGTGAAAGATAGACAAACTAAAAAAAAATTAATTGCGTCGCTGGTCAAGTAGCTGCATATTCGGATTCCTAGGTTCAGGTCAAGTATAGTTAATGATCTGTCATAAAACTCAGTAGTAGCCAATGAAGGAAAATTAGCAGTATTAACTACTCATACCCCGGGGAGTATATATAACCATCGGTACTCTACCTAATATTTAAACGGTCGTGCCGAATGAACGTTTCATTATACACGAAAATGAAACAAATAGAGAGTGCACTTTTTGACGATGTCTGCACACACAGTGCACAACACACTGTAATATTTTCTGCGCAGGTGGCTAGTCTCGATGAAATTGGCCATCATAAGCGTAATTAATTATTACATGGAAAATTGTCTTTACTAATCAAAGTCACTCAGATATAAAATTTACAATTCATTCAATATTTATATGAATATGGTAATTTTAAAGTATATTCATAAATCGTTAAGTATAAAAAGGCTTCATCCGATTCTTTTAGTTGTGAAATTTGAAGTGTTTTAATAAGCGGTAAATTTATTTATGCTAAGTTCTTTATATGGCATAATTAATAGATATATGTGCTTATGTAGAATCAGTGAATAGTAAAATATTCACTGTTTACGGTGATAAACTTTATAGGGTAGTTCATCTTTGGATTGGAAAACGGCAGTGGTAGCCCAGTGGTAACGCGCTCGCTTGGGAAACCGAGTGAAATGAGTTCAAATCCGGGTCTCGCACCTCTGATATTTTCATGTGCGAATCATTTCCAACATGATTACCACTTATCTTAACGGTGAAGGAAAACATCGTGAGGAAGCATGTCTAAGAGAACCTAGCAAGTTTTCAAAAGACATGTGAAGTCCGCCAACCCGCACTTGGCCAGCGAGGTGGACTATGGCCTGAACCCTCTCGTATTGAAGGGAGGCCCGTGCCCAGCAGTGGGACGTTAAAAAGGGCTGTATACATATACGAGTACATACATCTTTGGATTGAGAGAACTTTTTGTTTTATTTGCTGTCGTAATGACTAATATTTAATCATTTGTTACAGGAATGGGAATATTATATGCTGGAAGGTATAGTTTATGTATTTTATATGATAAAACCCATCACTTTTTGTATTTAATGGTTTTAAAATTTCTTTTTTAATCTGTCTATATCAATAAAAATGAAGTGCTGCTCGTTAGTAAACGTATCACTTACGAACGACTGGAACGATTTGGCTAATACCTTTTGCAAAATATATCGCAATAAGGTTTTATGGGTGAAAATTGGGAAAGTTGTCGGAAAATTAGGAAGTTTAAGGACAATCTGATTTTTTGTGTGAATTCAAAGATTAAAAATTAAATACAAACCGTATTGGAAACTTGGACTTTATAACGTCTGTTGGTATATACTACATATTATAAATACACTTTCAATTATCTAAAACTTTCGTGCAGAAAATTGTTCTAACAGGTGTTTTCTAACCGCAGACAAAAATCGATTTAGGTGTAAAAATGATTCGGTTAATAATTATTCGGTTCAACATTTAGACTTCCGGAGTCCCACAGGCATAGAGTCTTTACAAATAAGAGCAAGCCTTGCGTGATCGAGACCATTCGTTTCCACACACGCTTCATAAGGAATCGGTTTTAGTAGAATTGCAAGCGGATAATATATGATTTGTTCTGGCATGAATTATCATTATGTACCTATACGTTATTATGTAATAACTAAATAATAGGCTAACAAATAAAATTAATACTAGAATATTAATAGTGATTTGTTTATTTAATAATTAATATCGTAATGAATATAGAAATATTAAAAAGAAAAGTACAATTATTATTTACTAGCAGAACCCGCGGCTACGCTCGTGCTAAAACTACAAAACAAACTCTAAAAAAGTAGGTTTCATACAAACTTTCATTGTTACCCCCTTAAAGGGCAAAATTCGAAAAAAAATTATTTCATTGTGTTGAAAAGCATAATACCAAGTTTCAAGTAATTGTGATCATTAATATTTTTTGGGTTGTATTATAACGTGTATTCCCGTGGGAATGAGATAATCTCCGATAAAAAGTAGTCTATGTTACTCTCCAGTTCTTCAACTATCTCCACACAAAAAATCACGCCAATCTGTCAATCGCTTTCTTCGTGAAAGAAGAACAAACAAACATACTTTCACATTTATAATATTATATATATATAAGGATATCTAAGTATTCTGTAGACCTACAAGAATTATATTTGCTTGATTTTAACAGACACACTAAAAATATTTCAATATTATTATTCTAAGTAATTATCAAAAATAAATAGTTTTTAATTCAATCATACAATTTTTTTCTAATCTATCTATAAGATATTCGCGTTCTCACCTGTAATGTTGACCGTCATACCTCTCTGGCCAGTTTGGGAGTAAAGCGACCCTTTTGCTTCTGGGAATTGAATTGTATTGTTTCGACCTTTTCAATCAGTATCAGTAAGAAATGAAGTCTTAGAATTTTATCAATATGGGTATATACTTTAATTGTAGTAAGAAGATTGTATTTATTGTAAACAGCGAATGATTACCATAACAGCTCATTGGATGGCTTTTAATCGTATTACGTAATCTGTACCAAGATAGAGGATTCGATTAAAATATGTGAGGAATACCTAACCTACTTCATAGATAGAATCGATGATAAATATGACTTAGATTTTTTCGTTGTTCAAAATAACTAGCTTTTATTGTTATTATTTTTAAACCTCGACGTAAAAAGAGAGGTGTTACAAGCTTGACGTCGATGTCCGTCTGTATGTGTGTGTGTGTGTGTGTCTGTCTGTCTGTGGCATCGGAGCTCTCACACGGATGGACGGATTTCGATGCGGTTTTTTTTCATTTGAATGCCAGTTTCCTTGCTGTGGTTCTAAGCTATGTTTGGTTAATATCAGTCCAGCAGTGTAAGAGTATCAGTTCTCTTCCAAAATGATGTAAGGCATTTTGGCGTATGATTAATCGATTAAGTGCTTTACGCGTGCCAGTGTAATCGTTAAATGACAATTAATTTGCGTAGGAGGTTTTTAAAAATTTTAATTTATAATTAGATACGTAAAGAAATGCCTTATTTCATTTTTTATTAAGCTATTGCATAGCTTCTATCGCGGGTCTTGAGCGTGGGGACCGAATGAAAGTATATAGGTGTATAGGTATTTATCATCTAT